CCCAATTTGGCAATTTGGGTTTTTTTGCTCCTGCCTTCTTTCTTTTGATTCACTCTCGTTCGGTTATACTCTACAAAATTATGCCAGCTGAAAAAGCTAAAAACCACAAAAAACAAGCAACTATATCAATTACTTACTCTTTATATACATAAAATATATACATTTTTGGTCTTATGGGTATGGGGGCGCGTGCGTGTTCTATCTCTAAACTCCTTTATATTAGATTTAAATCAAAATTTTATTTTCCCTTGTACTTTTTATGTTTATCGAAATTTTTTATGTAAAACTATCAACTCATTACCATCATCAACATCCCAAATGTATGCTGGAGAAATTCCTATATAAATCATGCAAATTTTTGTTTTTTATTCTTTTTTTCTTTATAGAATGGGGCACCTGTCATTTTCAATTTGGGGTTGTCTATGTAGTATACAGTCAATGCCATACCATAATATGTTTTGTTTATTTATTATTAAAGTTTATACTGTCTATTTTTAGAGTAAAAATCGCGCATCCAGATGACTATGATAATGCAAAAATCCATATTCGGATCTTTATTATTTTTCTGTTTAGAATGTACAAATACTATACAAGAAAGATTAAAAAGTATGTCGATAGCATTCGGAGAAAAGCAATAATAATATGAAATATATGATGGTGAGTTATATTTGAGTATTAATAGGTAAACAAAACTTTGATAATGTTGATGATGAATGATGACGATGAAGAATGATATGATCATTTACAAAAATTAAATAAATAAATATAAATACAAAAGTTAAAAACTAGGTAACAATAACTCAGCCGTCTTTTTGTTAACAACAATCCATAAATTAATTAATCGCCCGTAAAAAGTCTAAATAATAAATATGTACAACTGCCAATGAAACGGAAAGCCGCCAATCCAGTCACGGACCATAACACGAAAGCCATATACACATTACTCCTTTGTTCCGCGGTCAGAACACTGTTTAAGCTTGCGACATTGGAGTTTGTGATACCGGCGACTAGAGCCGCATTTGACAAAATCCAGAACAACACGACACGTGTTCGAAAAGTTTTGCGGTAGTCTTCTTGCCGGGTGCTTTCGTCGGGAATATCTGGTTTGGGTTCGACAAATTTTGTGAGTTCAGCGCATGCTTCTTCGTAGGCTTCGTTGATGTCTTTTTCTTCGGTAGGAACTGCAATGTCGACATGGCTTTTGCCAGGATGTGAAGAAACTGATCCGAGATCTTGTTTTACGGCGTTATCCCCTTTTGTACCCCAACTAGTAAAGAAAAAAGCGTTGTTTAATTATAATTAATAATAGCGTCATCTTTGTAAAGAAATATACATACCTGACATCATGTACATTACAAAAAGCATACACATTCAAAATGTTAATATAGAATGGCACCAAGAACATATACTGAATAAGACTGGTAAACATATGCCACGGCTCGAAGAACAAGAAACTGGCAACAAAATATAGACCATAAGTGGACGCTAACGACAAGATAACGTTTCGGAATGTAGGATCGCCTAAAATAGCGCTTGCCGTCGAGATATTTGCACCAGTAATTTTGCCATTTGTTTTTTCTAGGGCAAAGTTGATCCCTTTGGCGGTTAACCAACCGGCAGCAAATAACATATAACCCATAAGACACGCAAAGAATCCAATCGAAGCGATGTATGCCCATTTTGACCTATGATGGATAAGAGTTAAATCAGCCAAAGATAGATTTCAATTGATATTTGGATAAGAAAAATATGGCATACCCTTGAGGTCGATTACCCATAGCCAGAATAAACTGGATTATAAGTAAAGTCAAATAAGTATATCTCAAGATTTGAAAGACGATTTCTCCAGTGTTTACACTCCATAATCCTTCAGCCACTAAAGGTTCTGATAAAGAATTGCCCAAAATATAGAAAGTCAAATAGAAATTACCCTACAAAAAATCATAATTAATTAATAATTATTATAAGATTTAATAGAAAATCCGATTAAAAAAATTACCAATGCAAACCAAGAGAATGCCAAATTAAATGATTGATATGCCATTTCGATGTGCAATAAAGCTTTTCTGGCCATACTATGATCACTCCTCCAAATGGCAGAAGTATGAACAATAGCATAAACACCAGCGAAAAATGAACCATTTAACCAACGTCTTCGCTGTGAAATTAGTTCGGGAACTTGATCGGGAACGTCCGTTTCAGCGTACGATGACTTCACATAATGTAACACCCAAGCACAATTTCGTTTTGCAACCAATTCGAAACAGAGAATACGATCTTCTGCAAGATACATGTTGGCCGTGAAGATGTCAGCGTCTGCACCGTGTTGTGCTTCACCCATGAAGTAAGAGGCTAACGGGCCATTCCCGTTTTGATCATTCTGAAGAGCCTGATATCGATATGCAGAGAAAGCACCGGGTAACACAGTGATATAGCCAAAAACGGATTCGAGGGGTTTATCGAGAATATTCGACATTTTATATTCGAAATTTTGTGCAGCAACAATTGGATTCAATAGATTAACACCAGCGGTACCTTTCATTGCGACAATTTCACCGCAAGCACCTGCTACATAAGAGTTGAGATCAAAAGCTTTCCATAAATGGTAAATTGAAGTACCACCAGGTTTTGTTCCAACATCGAGAAGAACACAGACATTTGGTTCGAGAATGGAACCAAAAGCATTAAAAAACCAACGATGAGAATTGATTTTCTTTGCGTTTTTTTCTTTGAGACAAAAAAGAACTTGAATTGGGACGATGCCACGATCAGCGCCCTTGAATTTCATATCTGGATCGATAGAAATTTGTGTTGTATATTCGTATATGTGAGCAGTTACATCTTTTCCATTGACTTTATTTTTTGCAATATCGTGTTGATATACTCCAATAGCAGCCAGGTAAGATAGTGTACGTTGATTGATTTTTGTACGACCATCAGATACTATACATACACACACTTTTTTCCATCCTTCTTTACCCCATACACGAGATCGATCACGAGAGCAAAGATGTGCTATATTCTTTACAACACCGTGAAAAGTGCGTGCAAATAGAATTTCGTCTTCCTGTTTTTTCGGATAGTAGCTTAAACAAGTAAGAATCCCGTGATATTACACAGAAATGATCGACATCGTATACAAATTGTACTTACGTTATACATAGTCAATACAATAAATAGTTCGGTTTTTCTTTTGGGTTCATAAAGTTGCTGACGTAAAGTGTATGCATCACGTTTAAAGTCATTTGGATCACAGGTAGCGGCAGTGTAACGCATATGAGTGAATTCTCTTTCGTCTTTCCTTGGACATTGGTCCAATAATTTCGAGGGTACCGGACAGTCAAGCACCAAATTTCCTTTAAACAGTTCAACGCGTTTTGTAGTTTTATAGCGACGAGGTTGACGTGCTGGCGCTTGCCCGTAGTGAACTTGAGGTTGTTCTTGGAATGTGACATTAGTCGACAACGGAGGAGAAGTCGCCGATGATTCTGGAGTCGGCTGTTTTTCTGATAAAAGTGGTTGTTGTTGTTGTATGTCCACAAAAGAGTCATTCTGGACAATTGGAGGGTAGACCCCTCCTTGTGGTGGAGGATATAGTTGTGGTGATCCTGGCTGCTGCTGTGGTGGATATCCTCCTTGTGGTGGACCACCACCTCCTTGATAATATGCCATTTCTTTTTACCTTTTTTCTTTTTGTTTTTTAATTCGAAAGATTATTATATTTAAATAAAGGCACGGCACAAAAAAAAGGTTATTGATAGAGTTAGTAATTAAACTATAAAATTTATTTATATTTATTCTAGTATTATCATCAATGATTGTGTTCAATTTACCAAAAAAAAAAAATTGAATTGCATTTTAAATATGTCAAATGATATATAATATTTTATAAATAGAAGATTCGCTTGCGGGAATGTAGTATTGTTCCAAACGCCAAGGAGGCTGTGTTAGGTATTAGTGTATTAGTATTAGTGTAGTGCGGTGGTGGGATTAGAAGGCTTTGACGAAAAATAGGGGGCTGCTTGTTTATTATCATCTTGTTTTGCAACGACTATGCCACATTCACCATAATAAACACACCTTCGGAGGAGATCAACTGTCAAATTCCTAAAATTAGAATTTAATTGGAATATTTATTGTGGCGAATAAAGTTGTAACATTATTATACACTCGCCACAATAATCATTTCAATCGCTCATCATGTTGTGAACCCCAAAAAGTACCTCGAGAAGACTAAGGAGGACAAAATTCGTGATGTTACACGGCCCACGGACTCGGAAAAGTCCACACAAATACTAAGAATATTTATTACATGCGCTGGAAATGAAGACATGGTAAGTCTGGTTCTCACAAAAGGTCAGCTGGGCAAATTAAAATTTCCCATTGTACTATCATATCGTTCCTTTTTCCATTGTTTTACGTAACAGTACGATGTTGAAAAGGTAGATTTGGTTAACACTTGATAATGCTCTTAAACGCGATTAAGACATCAAGAACGACAATGACTTTCTCAACATGTTTCGCAGAGATTGTTTATTTATTAGATATTATAAATATGTATTACTCAAAATGCGATTGGATTTCTACTTCCCTCTTGAACTATGTAGCAATTGATACTGTTTTATAAAATACTCTTGAATATACATACACTCAAAATCTTGTCGGGATTATGGTGCAGATAATTTAAAGACATCCAATACTTTGAACTATAATTATCAAATCTTTGAATGACCTTTTTTTTCGTCTGGATTTTTGACAATTGTAATACAGAGTTGATCATCAATACCCGCGATTACCTATTATGTATAAAAAAGATTGTAACCTTACTATTAATAGTTATGATTGTTTTAACATGTCAAATTGCATTTAAACTGCATTGACATAGAAGGGAACCATTACTTTTCGTGCGGACTAATCTTTACAAGGCTCGAGTGCATAACGATAAAGCTTCAATAACAAATGAATATAATGGCATTTCTCGTGATCTTGGGTTAATCTTGATTGGATCATTTATTGATGACCAACATATAATGGACACCAACTCAAAATCGCTATATGTCCGTCTAATAAAAGAAAAATCGTTCGATAAAGCGGGTTTTTGAATTACAGAGTCCGTAATAAAAGTTTTTTTTACCATCTAATAATAAAACGATTATCTCGTCTCATTATCCCATGGTCATATATCGCATTTTATAAATGAACCTAAGATGGAACGATCTGCAGTAAAATGTATTCTTTGTCAATAAAGGAGCATTTAAATTTGTATGTCAAGTAGCAGAGATAAATGAATACATATCGGGTGGCTTTTCTATAATTCTCATTCACAGCATATTACAAATTTTCCCTTTATGAGTTCTTTGTTTTCACTGTCACTATGATAAGAGTATTATTACTACGTATTTCGTCAAATCAAAGATCCCGAATGTAAAATGAAAAAACATTAAGAATAAATATGAAAAATAACGTAACAACTAGCACTATTCTTCTCGATATAGCGAAGATCCATGTGATTTGTTATATTGTGAGAGTTAAAATTTTGGATATAACGGATAAGAGGGGGCCTTCGTGATACCGAGAGCCACTGTTGTACAACGCGAAAACAATATCACTGCGGTATAGTAGGCCTCCTTCGTTCCTTTTCTTTTCTAAAAAACGCGGTTGTTTGTTAAGGCTAGAAGTAATTTAAATTCGATACTTGAACAAATTCTGATAGTTAACATTATTATTTTTGTAATTGTAAACTTTTGAAATTCTTTTATTATTTTTTTTGATTGAACGAAATGTCTCAAAGTAATTAAGAAATGTGCCAAAATTGTTGTATTGAGGATTATGCAAAAATGGATGGAATAATTATGGATTTAACGCAGATGCTATTGATAATGTAAGTAGTTTTTTTATCTAAGTATAATTTCCAACTCTAACTTCTTATCGTTATAATATTTCTTTCAACTAAAGAGCATCAAAACGAACAAGGTAGCAAAATGTGTTTGCGGAACAATACAGATACGTTATATTCTATAGCAACTAATAGCACATCTCATGGGTAAAGAAACAGTTTATAACAATTCAAAGAATTGGAAACGTTTCGTGTTATACAAAACCTATATGTAAAAGATTATGCCTCAAATTATTTTTATCATTAGAATTAAAAGATATAAGGGTGTTCCAATTGTCGACTTTTTGATTAAGGTGATACGTAATCAATGCATTGTATTCTAAAATTAAAGTGTTTAAGTAGTTAAATATTTAATAGAAAAAAGCCAAATTGAATAATATAATAAATGAAATTTTGGTTGTAATTATCAAAAGTATTCTGTAATTTGCTTTATATAAAGCTTATAATATAAAGTGAATTTCCCACCTTTCTATTCCAAATGCATCCAAGATCCAAGGATATGCTAAGGCTCCACTTGAGAATGACTTTTGATATTAAAGAATCTAATTTCTGTTATTTGATTTATTCCAATATTATTACTGTACAAATATAAAATTATTTACTGTGAAGAGAAATCAAAATACTAGATTTTAAAGGAAAGAAAAGGTTATCTAAGATTCTATACCTATTACTTATTACTGGATTTAGAAATATTAAGTCTCAAAGAGATTATATAAAAGAGTATTCATAATAAAAATAACAAATTATTATGATGATTATAATATTTGATAATTGTAATATCTGGTAATTTTCTATTATATGATTCAAAAATAGATAAATATTATATAATTATGAAAAAGAGAAGAAAAATCCTATATTTCACATAATTTATATATAATAAAAAATAATTAGCTAATCAAACATAATATAAATCTTATTTAAAGAAAAAAAAAATTAGCTTTATAATAATTAAATATTATAATATAATAGCTTTTATAATTATAAAATTAAAAATTGATTTATTAATAAAATATAATAAAAATTAAAAATTTTTTCTCTATATTAAAGTTTATAATTTTATTAAAACATAATTTTAATTTTTATATTAAAATAAATTTTAATTTTCTAAAAAAGCTATTCTAATTATAAAGTTATTGTAAAATTTTTTTAATTAAAATAAAATTTAATTAGAAAAAACTTTGTATAATTAGAATAATTTTTTTAGAAAAAATTATAATTTATAAACTTTATTTTAATAAAAATAAAAATTATTTTTTAATAAAATTATAAACTTTAATATAAAAAAAATTTTAATTTTTATTATATTTTCTTAATAAAATTAATTTTTTTAATTTTATAATTATAAAAATCATTATATTTATATTTAAATAAATATATTTATAAATTTGAAATATAATTTAAGATACTTATTAATATTTTAAATTATTTAAAAAATTTAATAATTAGATATATTTATTTAATTATAATAATATTTATATTTATTTTTAAAAAAAATAGTAATTATTATATATAGTAATGACTAAAAATAATGATTCAAAAGCTAAATTTATTAATAAAATATAATGAAAATTGAAATTTTTTCTTTATATTAAAATTTATAATCTTATTAAGAAATAATTTTTATTTTTATATTAAAATAAAGTTTATTAGTTATAGTTTAACATATATTTTTTTCAGATT